CTCAGGCGAGACTGGGTGGACCACCTCAAGCCGAGGCATCTCTGAACCCAGAGTTGCGAGGATGTCTCAGGCGAAGCTGGCCGGACCACTTCGTGCGCGGCATCTCTGAACCCAAAGCTTGGAGGATGTCTCAGGCGAGACTGGGTGGACCACCTCAGGTCGAGGCATCTCTTAACCCAGAATTGCGAGGATGTCTCAGGCGAGACTGGCCGGAGCGCTTCGTGCGCGGCATCTCTGAACCCAAAGTTCGGAGGATGTCCCAGGCGAGAATGGGTGGACCACCTGAGACGAAGTCATCAATGTGACCAGAGTTGCGAGGATGTCTCAAGCGAAAACGGCTGGGACGCTTCGTGCCTGGCTTCAAACCCCTTCGCCGAAGGCCAAGGGCCCCATGAAGATGCCAGAAACGAAGACCACCCCAATGTAGGGGACCAAATGGCGAAGAACAGAGGGGCAACCCTCCGAAATCATGGCGATTCAAAGCCCTCATGCCAGACCACCTCTTGCGCGGCACCGTCGAGGCAACAACCCTCATCGTCGCCGCCGCCGCCGTCGTCGTCGTCGAAGTCCGTATCTTCCTCCTTCTGATCCTCCTCGTCGTCCTCCTCCGTCATCCTCCCTCTCCTCCTCCCCCGACTCCTCCTCCCGCCCGGCATGCCCCCTCCTCCGCCTCGCCCCGTCCTCCTCTTCCGACTCCGCCTCCTCATCGTCCTTCCTCTCTCTCTCTCTGCCCGCCGAGCCGTGCTGCCTGGCCGAAGCGGGGGCGAGGGACAGGAGGAAACGAAGGAGGAGAGGAGGGAGAAGACGAGGGGGCAGGACAACGAGGCAGGGTCAGCGGCAACGCGGACGGGGAGGAGACGGGGAAGCAAGGAGCCCTTAGCCCAAATCCGCCACCGCGCTTCGAAACACGAAGTGGAGCGTCCTCAAGTCTCATCGATTCTCTCTCTCCAAGAATCTGAATATTATCAGAAAGGGCCCAAATCCAAGAGTTCTGGGCGCTCCCAGGATTGCTCGCGTGACTTTTCAGAGAACCCCAAAAAACTATTTCGCCTGCGACATAATCGAATAATCGGGCCCTGAGGGTAGTCCTAGAGTTTGGCTGTCGAGCCCAATCATGTGTAAATTGCACCACATTCGCGCCCCCGAAGCCACGACCCCCCATACATTATGCCACCTTCGCGCCCACGAGGCCAAAATCCCGTGTAAATTACGCCGAATTCGCGTCATCGTCGTCGTCGTCGTTTCGGACGCCGGTCCCTGAAAGAGGCCACAAGAGGCCCAAAAGAGGTCCCAAGAGGGCCCAGGACAACCCCAAAAGGGCCCCAAAAAGGCCCCAATAGGCCCCCAAGAGGCACCCAAATAGGACCCCAAGAGGCACCCAAGAGGCCCCAAGAGGGCCCCGCGCCGCCGACGAAATTGCGCGCCGTAAATTATAACTTACGGCTGACAAATCATCGATGCTGTTTGCGAGAAGTTGTGCGATTTGATGTTTATTTAGGTGGCAACGATGGTGATGGTGACGGTGGATTTGGTGGCAATGATTACAATGATGGTGTTGGTGATGATGGTAAAAAAGCTTCGTGGTGATGGTGATGATGACGATCCTTGGAAGCCATGGCGCATGGGACAACGATGATCCGGGATGGAGGAGGAGGAGGAGGACGGGAAGATTGAGGAGCCCGGTGGCTACGAGGAAGACAAGGATGATGGTGATGATCGGAGCGGAGCGGAACGGTCAATAATCCATCCGGCGGGGCGGCCCCGCAGTGCGCTTCGCGCGCGGAGAGGCCGTGCATGCGCGCGGTACTGTCAGACCGTGAAACATTGAAACGTCAGACGCTGGAGGACACACGCACGAAGGCAGAGAAGAGCGCACGCCAGGCGAGGACGGGAGGCGGAAGCGAAGGAGAGGGAGGGACGAACGACGAGAAGGACGACGGAGGGCACGCGAGCGAGAAGGCGCGCAAAGCCCCAAACAAAAATAATGAAGGACAGCCGATGGATGGATTGAGAAACCAACCTAGGAGGAGGGGGGAGGGAGGAGGAGGAGGAGGAGGAGGAGTCTGCCTGGCCTTGCAGAGAGCAGGCAGGGTGCGCCTCGCGAGTCGCTCCATCTCCTGACAGGGCGCCCGGTGCACCTGCGCGCCACTGTCCGGCGCCGCGGCTTCCAATTCAAGAGCCTACGCGGCCACTTCCCTCTGTCGTCGGCCAGTAACTGCTCGGTGAATCTACCTTATTCACTGACTGGGTCCCCACACAATTTTTCTCGCCCATCTTTGAGACATGCTTTTCGCGGAACCTCGTGGACCTCTTGATATATGCAATCCACGTTTCCTCTTCCCTGCGCGGCACCTGGAACATCTTTCGCGTCATTCTCCCCCAAGCACTGCGCAATGTCTGCTTGGCGTCTCCCCGCGCAGTCCGCGCAGACGAACCGTGCGGCGCCGTGGGCGTGACCGCATTTTCAAAGAGCTTATAACGGCATATAAATGCAAACTGCCTGTTGTGCACCGCATGCTTGCATGTGCAGAATGCTTTCCACGCCGAAGCCAGCCGACGGGGCAGCTCAGCACCGCGATAATCTCCCAAAATCAGAACTCTTCCCGGGCATTGCTCGGAGCACGCCGGCTGAAGTACGTCGACTGCATCGCCCCCGACGAGAGCAGCGGCGCCAACTTCCACCCCCCTGTTCGCGGGGATCTGTCTTGCCCAGATGCATGACCGAGCCGCGCCTGGACGTCTCGCGCTGCAAGTGACATGGCATCTTTGTCACGTCGCCCCGGCTCTGTGCATGAAGCAAGACGTCATCGGCAAATCTCGAGTCGATCAGCGGGCCGCCCCCCGCGTCGATGACAAGCCCGAAATAATGGCCCGAACGCCTCTTGTTGAGAGCTCCCCATTTGCGCTTGCGCGTTTGAAAGCATCTCTCCAGCGCCGCAATGAGGAGGGGCGCGCTGAGCTGCCCCCCTGTTTCACGCCTCCCCTCAAGTAAAAACGAGCGTGATTCGGCTCCCGCGACCACCGTGGCTGTCTGATTGCTGTAGAGCTTCTTCAATATATCCATATACGGCATCTGCGCCGAAGTCATGTGAGACCTGCCAGGGCGAGTCGTGCTCGACTGCGTCGAACGTCTTCTCGAAATCGGCCAGGCCCGGCCAGAGCTCCCGGTTCCACTCCGAGCATTCCTCGACCAGAAGCGCCATTGCAACAAGGTGGTCCTCGGTGGAAAACCGGATCTATACGCCGCTTGGTCGACTGGCTGCTGCTGGATGATAGCTGGTCCCAACCTGTTACATTGCATGCGCGCAATGAGCTTGTAGGTGTATTGGCAATCTGACAATGGGTCTGTAATTATGCGGAAGATCGGGGTCGCCTTTCTTGAAGATCACGATCAATTAGGTTTGCCGCCACGTGTCTGGGGGCCCCCTGTCAGGCCTCCGAACGTCGTTGAACAGCTCCAGCACGCGATGATACTGCGAAGATCCACCGTGCTTGAGCATCTCGGCAACGATGCCCGCGCCGCCCCTGCACTTCCCTGGCTTCAGCGCTCGCAGGGCCGACCCGAGCTCCTCGGCAGAGAAAACTGGAATCTCGCCCCTCGGAGCTTGTGGAGCACTCGAGGGCAAACATTTGCTGCTGCGCAAGTCCTCGTAGAACGTGGCGAAGACCTCGGCAATCTCATCCACTTTATCATGGAGTTCGCCGCCCTTCCCCCTCACTTGCGCCATGGCTGCCTTCTTCTTCGAAGAGTCAGCTCGGGTCAGTTCTTTCAGTCCTCGGAAAGCATTCAACATGCGATCGATTTTCTCGGTCCTGCGTAGCTTTACCTTCCTGCGCACTGCTTTGCTGATGCCCTTGCTTAACCTCTCTCGTTCAACTATTTTCTGTGCTGGGGTGAGGTCGCCTCTCGATCGAATATGGCGTCTCCTGGACCATTTTCTCGATGGCTGGATCTGGCGCCGGCGACCTGGCCCTCGGTGTCGTCGCGAGCGAAGCGCAGAGCAAAGCAGCGCGCGTAGCGGAGACCATGGCTGCCTCCAGGTTGCCAGCTCGATTTGTCAAGTTATCTCACGCGCCGAAAGTGCCGCCCAAATTGTCGCGCAGATGTGCCAAGAACTTCCCCCCGTCAACTCCAGGGCCCCACCAGGGGGTCGTCGCCCTCGCCGTCGTCGCGGGCAACTGCCGAGAGATACGCGCAAATACAAAGCTCGATGGTCAGACCCAGTGTCAAACTTGGACAGCACAGCGCACTTCTCCACGCTGTCTCTGAGCTTGTCTGGCACGATGATGTAAGTCCAGCTGGCTCTTCATGCCCCCGTCCGCGCGCGTCCGGAGAGCGCCCGGCCCCCCTGTCGCGAACGTGTTGGCCAGGAACATGCTCGATTCTAAGATATTCTAAGCATCAATGAAATAGCCACTTGCCCCGCTCATTTCGCTCGCCTACCGGATTTGCGCCTGCAAGGGCACCCCCTTCATCATTGAAATCGGTCGTTGTCTGCGGGCCGACTTCTGCATTGAAGTCTCCAGCATGCAGAGCGGAGCCTTTGGAGCTGGACACGCAGCGATCAATACTTTCATACACAGCCTCAACATGTTCATCTGGATACTTTCGATGCGGCATGTACACGCCGACGACGTTGATGTTTGCGCCTTTCGCCTCGAGTGTGACTGCTGCAGCCCTATCAGAAATTGACTTGAATGTTGTGTGGGACCAGCGTTTGTTGAGCAGGAAGCCAATGCCGTTGCAGCCTTTCGACCCAACACTGCCGAACCAAGTGCGGCCGTGCGTCGTGGTGAAAATCTCTCGAGCATCCCCCATCCATGTCTGTAAATACAGATATCCCGTTGCGCGCTCCCTAACTCAATCATAACAGCTTCGTGCCTTTCGTCAAAAGTCATGACATAATGTATGTTGTAGAAGACTGACTAGTGAATTCATGTTGTGCAACGCCGTGGTCGTAATCATGCACGCCCTGCCCGCGGCGCCTGCCTTCACCCCGTCAATCGATATCCGTGACTGGCTCTGGGTCGGTTTTCGACCTCCACTTCTTCATGCTTTCGTCAATATTCGCCTCCACCTTTTTCGCTACCGTCTTCACGTGCCATTCCCCCTCCTCGTCGTACCAAGCCACCTTCTCCCCCTTGACTGTGACCATGTCCCTCCTCCACAGGATCTTCGCGTCGCCGTCGTCCCCCCCACCGTCGTTGATGATGTGGTGCTTGGTGCGCCTCAACCTCTTCTCCTTCTCTCTCTCCTCCGTCGCCAGGCTGTTGCGGAAGAACATCCCCCCCGGCATGCTCTTGTCTGTGCACGCGCGCGCGGCTTTGTAGAACTCGATCTTGTCGTGGATGTTCCGGAATGTGATGACTCCCATCTTCGCTTCCTCCGTGAACGCGCTCGCGCTTGCCGCGTGCACTTCCCCAAGAAGGACTTTCAGCGCCGTCTCCAAGGTCTCCTCGATATTCACGGCCGGCTGTCTTTCCTTGAAGCCGAAGGCGACCGCCTGCATGGCCCTGTCCATGTCTGAATCGATGGCGTTGTTGCCCTTGTTGGTGTTTGCGCCCCCGACTCCCTGCCCCCAGGCCCCGCGATGAATACACGAGAAGTCCGCCATCGCCTTTTTGACGAGCTCCTCCACCTCGTTTTTCATGGAGTCCGCTGTTACGAACATATCCATGTCCGCCTTGAGGTTCGTGACGTCCATTGCCATGCCATCGATCCTCTCATCGACATTGCGCATGGTCTCTTTCAGATCCTCCACGTCCTCCCTCACTTCTTTGATCACGCCCTTCTTCGTGCCCATCTTCTCGTGCAGCCTGTCGAACCGCATGTTCAGTTGCCTTTTCTGCCTGGCCTCGTATTCCTTGAACCAAGGCGGGGCCTCGTCAGTGACCGCGATGGCGCTGTCTTTCATGTCATCTGCGTCGTCGCTCAACACCTCGTTCACGACTCCCGACTTCCGCTCCGGAGTGGGCCACGAAACTGATCCTGAGCGCTTCCCTGACTAGCCTCTCCCTGCCATCTTGCTGTACCTCCCGACAGCCCCGCTAGAGAGCGAAACAGACACATCGTGAGCAAGACTGAGCAGATTGTGGCAGATATGGGAAGGCTGCTTGCTGAATGTTAGAGCCCAAATGGTTACTTGAGCCCGAATGGTTGCTTGAGCCTTGAGCAGGGGTGATGTAGGTGATGTGGGGTGATGTAGGTGGTGGTATTGATGATGGGAGATGGAGATGATGACGACGACGCTGGCGACGACGACGAAAATGATGAAGATGGTAGTGATGATGATGGTGGTGACGTTTATCTAGGTGGCGACGATGGTGATGGTGACGGTGGTGCTGGTAGCAATGATTACAATGATAATGGTAAAGGTGATGTTGGTGATGACGGTGAGGAAGCTTCGTGGTGATGGTGATGATAACGATCCTTGGAAGCTCTGGCGCATGTGAATGATGATGCGATGGAGCAGAATCGGGAGACGGAGGAAGCTGCGGAGGACGAGGAGAGAGGTGCAGGAGCCTCTGTGCCTGACGCGTGCACCTGTTGGCACCGCGGGAATCGAGCATGGCGATGGGGGCGGGTGAACCCGCGAGTCCGTAAACTTCGACACGAAATGTGCAACCCGAGCCGAAGTGACGAATATTTTTCCTGTTAGGACCAGATGGCTGCGGAGTGCAACATGTCTCGCTATGCTACCTCCCTGCTGTGCTACTCTGCTCTAACCTACATGCTACTCTGCTCTGCCCTACATCAGTGCACTAAGATACATCAAGTGTGGCATGCACCTCAACACCCCTTCTCGCGGACGTCGCCAAGCCCTCGCTTGGTGAGACCGCGCCCTGTCAGGATGTGGAGTGTGGGTTCCACGGCGGGGCTCCCCGCACGGTGGTTCACATGGGCCTGCCTTCGCACTCTCATAGGCGGAACTACCCGCACTACGCGTAGCACAACGGGGGCGGAGCTGCCCGCTTCGCCTTCCGGCGCGGTGCTCCCCGCAGCCGCTGACCCAAGCCATCCGGCTACTGTGCCGTGGAGGTTACGCACCCCTCGCCACTTCAATGGCGAGCTTGCTCTGGCCACTCCGGAGCTCGAAACCGAGGTCTGCCAGATGCTGCCACATCGTCTTCCCGTCGCCGTGCTTCGTGGGAAGATTGGCTGGATTGCTCTCTCCCTTGGTCTTCGAAACGCTCAGGCGCTTTTCGGCCACTGCTTGCTGTAGCCACAGTGCCTGCGTGTGCAGGTGGCGTATCTTGCCAATGCCACGCCTCGATGCTATGCCGACGCCTGCAGAAGCATCTGCCCGGAGCTCGGCCTTGCATGTCAAGCCGTAGTCCTTGGCCATGAGGGCCATTCCCACATGGCGCGACCCGGCCTTGAACATGCCGTAGTCCTCCGACTCTCCAGAAGAAGTGGCTATCGGCTTCTGCGTCGTAGAATACGCTGCCAACATGTGACTGCCGTGCATTGTTGCCCCTGCAGAAGTTGACCTGCGAGTGACCTTACACCCGGCATGGTCCGCGTCAGTGTACTGAATCAGCTTGCTTTGCTCCGGCTGACGGTGAAACACCTGCACGACCCGCGGCGCCGACACGAGATAGCGAGCGATCCTTTTGATCTTCTCCAGCGCGCTTCTCGTCGGGTTCTGCATCGCCCTTGCTGCCTCCTTGGCTGGATATAGCAACTCTGGTCGATCTATTGATTGGTGCGCTGTCCTCATGGTCACTGAACGGAAGAGGGTGGCTGCACTTCTATCGAGAACTGGATCGCCCTTTGGGTCCGGCACTGCGGTGGAAGCACCAGGAGTCACCACTCCTTTGGAGACCTTCCGGAGACCCATCTGCTCGACTGCGATATGTGCGTGCCGTGGATCGCACTCCCACTCAAGACAATCCCTTGCAGTGTCGAGCCGAATGATTCGATTCAAGCATCGGACTTCCTTGTCGTCGTGGGGCCCCGGACCAGCAAGCCAGTTTTCTTCATCTTGATGAGCTGCCGCATCTGCTCTTCCACCCAGAGGACATCCGCGCGTGATCCAAGAAACGCGAAATCGTCTCCATGCACCCAAGCCCTCACACGGCGTTTACCGTGTAGGAACACGCATGGGCTGCTCAAGCCCTGGGTAAAACCAAGACGCTCGACCAGCACGCTCGTGTAGAACCGCTCCCAGTTGTGTCCTGCCCGGCGGGTCCCGCGCATGCTTTTCAAGAGGCGCCGACGCCGCCCTGGGCGGTGTCGCTCTGGCGGCGCCTCCACGTAGATCAGCTCATCCGTGGGGCTGTGGAAATGGGCACGTGTAGCGTCCATGAACAACAACAACAACGTGTCTCCGCGCTGCTGCGCCTCCGCGTCCTCCCCTCCAGGCGCGGTCATCATCAAGGAGCATAGGAAGCGCAACGCCTCGAGCGGCGGTGTCGCTGCGAAAGTCCCCTCCTTTCCGGGATCTTTGACCTTGAGCTCCTTGGCGCAGAGGCGGCTCCGGTAATTGGGGTTGTTCTGGTCCCCTTTGTTGGCGTCAGACCAACGGACGCCAATCGGTTTCTTTCCTGTTACTTGTGCGGCCTCTTCCACCGGAGCCCACTTGTACACCTTGAAGTCATCAGCTTCTCTCAACTCGGCCTCGCGGGCCCCTTTCACGAACGTGGGATCAAGCACGCAACCTGATACGTCGTCTACATACTGTTCCGTCGAATGATCACACCAATCACCCATGGAAGGGCATTCGTGCAAGTCCTCCTCCGGCTCCAGGGGACAAGCGAAAAGAGGTTTGATCCTCCCGTCTGCTCTGAGCTGTGCCTCGAGGCCCTGGACGACAGCTGTGTCGGCCGGCTGTCCTGGAAGAAAGGATGCCATGCGGCCTGCTAGCTCTTTTCCGTTGGACAACCAACATGCACCCTTCGCTCTCCCGAGGTACACCCGGTCCTGCCTGAGAATCTCCTTTGCGCCGGCCAGCGTCCAAGCCGAAGTGTCACAATCAGGTTGCACGTGTAGGAAGTATCTCCCCTCCTCCATCCTCCTCCTATAAATTGAAAAGCATTCGCGAAGATGATGAAGAGGGTTTGAGGAATGATACATTGGTGAACCCACAACAAGATCTGGATTGCCGTCTTCGATCATCCAGAGTACCTTCCGCTGCTTCGCTGGAAGGCTGCAGTCCCAGGAACTGCCGTCATCAGGGTCCACTCTCCCGATGTCAAACACGCGGCCCCCCGTGCACCCTAACCACTCCGAGGTGGTCTGTCTGGCTGTGCAGTCAGGCGCCTCCAGGGCGCCCAACTCCCGCAGGGCCGCGCTGAGGAAGTCCACCTCAGCACGTGTCTCGGCCTTCCGTTTTGGCCTCGCGTCCTCCATGGGCATGGCGTCGCCGCCCGGGGCTCTGGCAGGGGCGGTGCTACCCGCGTCTACTGCCATAGGTAAGCTTGGTTGCGGCATGTCGGCGTCTGCCGGCTGGGCCCCGGAAGCGGGGGCGGAACTACCCGCGCCCCCTGCTACCGGCCCTGCTGCCGCGGCAGGTGCGGTGCTTCCCGCGACTCTGCCAGCCCGTGGTGCTTTGCTCGCAGGTGCGGAGCCTCCCGCGCCCTGCTCGGACTGCTGGGCCTCCACCTGTCTCCGGACATGGTCGGCCAAGGCTTCGGTGATCCGTTCGTCGGCCTCTCGGAGGCGTTTCTTGCCCTGGTCAGTTCTCCCGATTGCTTCCTCCAGGCGCCTCCTGCATCCCTCCGCGTGGTGCAGGGTCGTCTTCTGACCACTCATGTCCGCCTCGCAGCGCGGACACCCTCGCGCCCAGCCATGCCTCTTGAGATCTTGTTTCGTGATGTACACGCGCTTTTCCGACAAGACCTCTGGTTCATGTCTCGGAGAATCTGGTGGCACCATTGATGGCTCTGGGACATCGATGACCACGAGCCCTGACGACGCTGGCAGCGTCGCTGCTGTGTCTCCTGGGACAGGGCCCAACGGCGTTCCCTTGACGGCTAAGAGCGCCTCCGCATCGTAACGGCTGCTCGGCGGCAGCCCACGAATGTCTGCCGACCTGCCCACGCCGCCCTTCGCACCGATGAAGAACTCCGGGACATCATCTCTACACCCCAGGAACACTCCTTCCAACCACTTGGGGTCAAGCTTGTTCAGACGGCCGCTGTCGCTCCGAAGTCTCCTATAGAAGACCTTCTCCCCGACGGTTGGGAGGCCGAGCTTGGAACGCTTGCCCTTTGCACGCTCGCACGGCGTCCTGCCGTCGGCGCCCTGCTCGTGCCTGGACAACGAGAAACCAGCGAACTGCACCAGCGAGTGCAGAATGTTCGACCGGGGATCAAGAGTGATCTTGAACGCTCTCTCTGTCGCCACCTTCAGGGTTCTGACCATCCCAGAGATGGCTTGTATGGCTCTTTCGATCGTGCCATTGCTCGGTGACTCTCCAACCTTAGAAGGTTCTGGGATGACCTCGAAGTCTGCCCCCAGCTGGGCGATCACACCGTCCTTCATTGCGGTTATTGGGCTCTCTTGGTCTGACTTATATATGAACTTCGTCCTTCCCCAGTTCTTGATATCACGGGCTTCCTGCTTGATTACAGCCTCATGGAACCCTTTCTGGGGAACCACCCGCGCAGTCTTTAGGCGGGTCTTGTGGTCCACTTTCGCCAGGCATGCGAGTGCCTGCTGGTCAGAACCACCCAAGAAGAAGTAGTCAGTGGAGATCGTCGGCGTCGCGTGCTCTAGTTCTGCTGCGAGGTCTGCGCGGGCCGTCGCTGCCCCGCGCCCCTTCGCGCAGTCTGGGCGCCAAGACCGAAACGGCAAGTGTTGCGACGATTCGTGCTCCTCCACCTCTTTCGATGTCGGGTCGCAAGGCGACCTCATTGGAGTGCAGAATTTACAACTGAGCTCCTCCTCCACCGGGACCTCTGCTCCCGGAGGGGCCTGTGCAGGCGGACCCCTGGGGTCGTCCCTGCTGTCTTGGGCGCCGCTGCCGGCGCTCTCCTCGAGGGCGGAGCTTCCCGCACCTCTCGCCGCTGGCCCTTGGTTGGGGCCGCCGCTGTTTGCATGGGCCACAGGGCCCGAGCCACGGGCGGTGCTACCCGCGCCCAGTGGCGCTACTTCAGTCGGAGAAACATGTGAAACAGTGTGAGAACAAGTGGTATTAGGGGCTAGCTGCCCCCTCGGCGGTGAAACTTTGGCCTCCGACGGTCTTGCGGCTGGACCTGCCAGAAGAAACCCATGGATTCAGCGACCTTCGACTCGACCGCGCTCCCCGCGGGCACCTGCGCGCCCCCGGTGCTTTTTAGCTTCTGGAGCGCTGCGATCATCTGGTCTATCTCCATCGGGTTCGTTGCGGCCTCGGCGCCTTGCTGTTTAGGCGCGCTGTTCTTCTTTACCCACAACTTCATGAAGAATATCCCGTTGGCGCGATTGAGAGGTGTCCTCTGCTTCGTGCCGATGTGCTCCACGTAACTACCGTTCTTCTGGAGAACAACCCAGTTCCCGTGGTCCACGAGATCACTGGCAGCAAGCAGCATGCGGCGGGCCGGCCCGACGCGGCTCTTCATGGACCGTCGCTGCCACTTCTCTGTCACGACCTGCAACTTTCTCTGGCCCTTGTCGGTGACCGTCTGGCCCCCTGCTGCGTTGTACTCGATGCCGCTCCCGTCGGGGTCGATAGGGTGGTCGCTGCGCATCTCCTCTGGCATGATGGTGACTCCGGCGCCGCTGTCCACGGCTGCTTCTATCACCTCATACTCCTGGTCATACTTCGGTGAGTAAAGACCCAACACCTCCAATCCTTCCTCCATGACTGGTGCGCCTGGGATGTTGCATTCCTCCTCCTGTTCCTCCTCCTCGTGCTCCTCCTGCTCGCAGCGCCTGCATCCTCCTGCTGCTCCTCCTGCTGCTCCTGCTCCGCACAGCTGCCTCCTCTTCTGCCTCTCTCTGGCCTTCTTCGGCGGGCGCTTTTTCGGCGGGCGTTTCTCAGTCGGCTCTGGCACGTCGGCGGGTCTACCCGCGCACTGCCGGCGGCTCGGGGGCGGAGTCTCCCACTCCGCTGAAGACGCTGTCCAGGCTCTCGAGCGCCGCCCGGAAGATGTCGTCGAACAGCCCAGTGCCCTGCTCGGCCCTCTCCACCGCGCAGCTCGAGGCCCCCCACTTCCGGCTCCGGCTGGTCCTCGTAGTCCCCAGACGTCTCCATGCCGTGAAGCCCCTTCTTGCCGCCCTTCTTCGTCTTGCCGCCCTTGCTGCCTTTCGGCGCGCCCTTGCTGGCCTTGCCCGTGTTCGCGCGCCAGCAGTCCTTGCTCGCGTGCCCCTTCTTGCCACACACGCCGCATGGCTTGCTGTCGGCGTCGCGGCCTTTGCCGCTCGTGCAGTCCTTGCCCATGTGGCCCCGCTCCCAACACTTGTTGCAGTAGCCCTGGAAAGGCTGCTTGCCCTTGCCGCCAGACGCCTTGCCCGCGTCCTTGCCCTTGCCTTTGCTCTTGCCTTTGCCGGCGCCCTTCTGTAGGCTGCCGATGTCCATCGGCACTGGCTTGTCGAGCTGGCCGGCCCGGCGAGTCTCCAAGTACTGGGTGACCTCTTCCACGACGTCGTCGTAGAAGTCAAACCGGTTTTGGTTCAACTGCAAGTGCTGCTTCAGTGGGTTCGGGCACGTGGAAATCAAGACGGCTGTCTTGATATCGTCGTCAATCGTCTTCTTGGCCCTCTGCTGGTATCGGGTGATATCCTGCGTCCATGCTTCGATGGCGCTGCTGAGGTTCTCCAACTTCTGCTCTGGCTGGTTCAGAACCCGCATGAGGATGGACCTCTTGCGCCCCAAATTTCATGGGGTCCCAGCGCCGGACCAACCTCCTCTAGCTCTCGAAGCCGCGGTACTTGTGGCTCTCGCAGTTGCGCACGATCTCTTCGGACTCGCCCTCTACCAGCTGCGCCAGCACGGTGTACAGCTGGTTATGGATGCGCTCTGCGTCGGGGTCGATCTGCTTCGCCTCCTCGATGCCTCGGATCGTGTCCTCGTTGCTCTGCGCCCACTCGTGGAGGTCTCGCGCAGTCGGGTACATGCTGGATATGAAATTCATGTACTTGAAGCAGAAGGAGGGCCAGTTGTCGCCGCGCAGCGGCTGTGGTTTCCCGATCCCTTTCGTGTCGACGAGACACGGCCTCTCAGAGGTCGTCGTCGTCGATGTCGACCGGGTACCGAGGCCCTCGAACGCGGCCATCATCCTCTGCATGGCCTCGTCCGCCCGCTGCTGTTGCTGCGCTAGTTGCTGCTGCGCTTGGGTCTGCTGCTGCTGGAGTTGCTGCTGTTGCTGCGCCAGGAAGTCCAGGAGCTGCTGTGGCACTGCCTGTTGTTGTGCTGGAGCTTGCTGCTGCGCTTGTTGCTGCAGCTGCTGCTGTTGTTGCTGCACCAACTGCTGCTGCTGCGTTAGCTGCTCCGTCAGCTGTCTCGTCTGAGCTGTCAGAGCTCGTACCTGCTCTTGGAGATCCTCCATCTCCTCTCAGCTTGGTGAAGCGCTCTTGGAGCTCCGTCGTCCGCGGTGCGCTCCTGAGGCGGCAGCGTTCCGGTGGCTGCCTCTCGGTGGCGGCGGGGCTACCCGCGCGGCCACGCTTGCCGGCAGGGCCGGCTTTGGCGGCGGGTCTGCCCGCGCGCCAAGGGACCCGGTCCTTCCAGGCCGGCCCCTTCTTCCCACCACAGGCGGAGCTGCCCGCACCGTGGCCTGGCCGCTCTCTCGGGGGAGGCGGCGGTCGCGGGAGGCCTGCGCGGTCAGCTTGGCCGCGCACCTCCCGCCAGCGTTGGGTATCTGGATCCCGCCGGCCACGGTGCGTAGGCATGAACCGCTCACGCTACCATGACGAATATTTTTCCTGTTAGGACCAGGTGGCTGCGGAGTGCAACATGTCTCGCTATGCTACCTCCCTGCTGTGCTACTCTGCTCTAACCTACGTGCTACTCTGCTCTGCCCTACATCAGTGCACTAAGATATACTAAGATACATCAAGTGTGTTATGCACCTCAACACGAAGACGGAGGAGGGCGAGGAGGGAAGCGGAGGAGCCTCTTTGCCTGACGCGTGCACCCGCTGGCACCTCTGGAGCCGAGCAGGGCCCAGGGTGATAAAAAAAACCAATAAATCCGTGAATCCGTAAACTCCGTTCCGAAATGTCACATGTCGAAACGGAGTTTGCGCGAAAACACGGAAAACTGAAAAGTCGTAACCTTTACGACTTTTCGGCTTTTCAAATAAAGCGCGCGCTTCCGCTCCCGCTTGCCGGAACTTCTCCTCGCCAGCTTAGCCGCGCCGCGTGTGAAGGGTGCGCCGAAATGGGCGGGGCGGTCACATGCGGACTGCGGCGCTGGGGCCCTTGGTGGATCTCCGTGCGGGCCCGCGAAACGTGCGAGAGTGCGCAGAAATACACGGAGCGGCGGACGCGCGCGGATTGCGCCGCTGGGGCCTTCGGCGGAGCCCCCGATGGGGCCGCGAAACGCCGCGTGCGGGGCGTGCCGAAATGCGCGGGGCGGACGCGCGCGGACCACTCCGCTGGGGCGTTCGGCGGAACTCCCTGTGGGAGGAGGGAGGAGGGAGGAGGGAGGAGGGGCGAGGAGAGCCAGGGTGGGCCCGGCGCCAGCGCCGTGGTCGACCGCCACCGGGCTCGCGGACGCCGAGGCGGCCGCAAGCACCGAGGTGCTGCGGCCGACGGCCCCGCTCTCCGAGTCTGATGGGGGCCGGTGAGCACGCGTGGGGCCCAAGGTCCCCCGGTCCGCCTGGGCCCTCTTCGGGGCTGGAGCGGCCTTCTTTCGCTCTCGTGGGATTCCTTGTCCCAGTCTGGCCCGGCCTGGGCCCAGGAGTCCGTCTTATTTTTCGCGCGGGTCCGGATAGCATGGGCAGCGTCACTTTCCCGCCCCCGCCGCGCGCGGTCGGCAGATGGAATCCGAGTGCCCGACAGCCAAGCCGAAGGATGAGGAGGATGAAGGAGGAGGAGAAGGAAGGAGGAGGGAGGATGATGGAGTCAGGAAGATGACGAGGAGGGATGGAGGAAGGGAGGGTAGTGACGATGACGATGATGCGTTTGAGGCTGCTGATGGTGATGTTTGTTGTGATGATGATGATGATGATGATGATGATGATGATGATGATGATGATGATGATGATGGTGATGGTGATACTGATGCTGATGATGCTGATGTTGATGCTGATGACGATGATGGAGGAGATGATGACGAGGAGGAAGAGGAGAAAAAGAAGGAATGAGAAGGAGGAGGAAGATGACGACGACGACGACGACGACGACGACGACGACGGACGGCGACGGACGACGACGACGGACGACGACGACGAACGACGACGAACGACGACGACGACGACGACCTCCCCGCGGGGGGCACCGCCGCGGCGGGCGCGCCCACGAACGAGAACGCCGACGGCGCGGCGGGGGCGGCGGGCGGGGAGCTGGACACGAAAGAGAAGGCCGAGCCTGGCGGCCGCTCCCCCTTCCCCTCCTGCCGTTGCTCCTCCCCCCCTTCCGTCCTCGTCTTCCTCATGCTCCTCCTCCTGCTCGTCCTCCTGCTCGTCCTGCACCTCCTCCCCCTCCTCCTCCGCCAGCTCCGGGTTCTCCCTCCTCCCTCCCCTTCCCCTGATTTTCCTCCCCCGTCTCCTCCGCCTCCTCCACCTGACCAGGTTCGGCGGCGCGCGCAGGGCACGAAGGAAAGGGCTGAGCCTGGCGGCAGCCAGGATGATGGAGGTCGAGGATCGAAGATCAAGGCTTCTGAGCCCTTTGGCGGGGCCTTTTGGAGGCCAGGGGATTGTGGAGTACCTCAGTGCTCCAGAGGATTTTTGTACGACCTTGCACCCTTCTCTTCATCATTATCCTTATCTTACCTCTCTCTCTATGAATGTATGCATTCCTTCCTTAAGCTGTACCGTTATTATGCCAGCCTCTTCAAGGAAAAAACGCCCCCGAACATGGTCTTCGAAACTCTAGCCCTGTGCCAAGCGGCATGGGGCTGGAGTTTCGAGAACCATGCTTCTTTGTGGTAGATTTCAATAAGAAGCCTTCTGGGGGTTGCAATCGGGATCCTTCTGCGAAGGGAGATATTGGAACTCGACAGCGCAATGCCAGAGCAATGCCAAAGCAGTGTGAGCGCAATGCCAGCACAATGCCAATGCGATCTCAACTCCGATGCTAATGCAATGCCGTTGGGGGCAATCCTCTGTGGTAGATTTCAAAAGGAATCCTTTTTGCGGAAGGTTTCAATCGGAATCCTGCTGCGCAGGGGGGCATTAGGAATCGCCAGCGCAATGCTAAAGCAGTGCAAACGCAATGCCAAGGCGACCCCAATCCAATGCCAATGCTATGCCATTGAGGCAATCCTTTGTGGTAGATTTCAATAAGAATCCTCCTGGAGTTGCAATAGGAATTCTTCTGCGAAGGGAGGCATTGGAACTCGCCAGCGCAATGCCAGAGCAATGCCAAAACAATGCTAACGCAATGCCAGCGCAATGCCAACGCGATCTCAAATCCGATGCCAATGCAATGTCGTTGGAGACAATCGTTTGTGATATAGTTTACAAGGAATCTTTTTTTTTTTGCGGAAGGTTTCAATAGGAATCCTTCTGCGAAGGGAGGCAGTAGGACTCGCCAGAGCAACGCTAACGCAGTGCCAACGCAATGCCAAACCAATGCCAAGGCGACCCCAATCCAATGCCGATGGGGGCAATCCTTTGTGGCAGATTTCAATACGAATCCTTTATGTGGAGGGTTTGGATAGGAATCCTTCTGCGAAGGGAGGCATTGGGACTTGCCAGCGCAGTGCCAGCGCAATGCTCAAACAGTGCCAACGCAATGCCAAATCAATGCCAAGGCAACCCGAATCCGATGTCAATGCAATGACGTTTGGGGGCAATCCTTTGTGGTAGATTTCAAAAAGGAATCATGTTTGTGGAGGGTTTCAATAGGAATCCTGCTGCGAAAGGGAGACATTAGGACTCGCCGCCACAATGCCAACGCAATGCCAACATAATGTTAAACGAACTCCAATGGGGGGCATCCTCTCTTGGTGTATTTTAATGAGAATCCTTCTGGGATGATGTCATTGCGAACCCATGTTCGGAGGATTTCAATAGGAATCCTTATGTGAAGGGCTTCGAATGCAATCCTTCTGTGGATGATTACGATGTGAATCCTTCTTGTGTGTTAGTGGGGGGGGGTCACTAGGCATCCTTCTTGCTTGGGTGGATTGATAAGAGTCTTCCTGTGGAGCGTTCGATTAGGACTCGCCAGCGCAATGCCAAGGCAGCGCCAACGCAATGCAAGACCAATGCCATGGCAATCCCAATCCAATGCCAATGCAATGCCAATGGGGGCAATCCTCTGTGGTAGATTTCAATAAGAATCTATTTGTGGAGGGCTGCAATAAGAATCCGTCTGCGAAGGGAGGCGTTGGAACTCGCCAGCGCAATACCAGAGCAATGCCAACGCAGTGCCAACGCAATGCCAGCGCAATGCCAAGGCGATCCCAACCCAATGCCCATGCAATGTCCATTGGGGCAATCTTTTTTTGTAGATTGCAATAGGAATACTTCAGAGGGCTTCGCATGGAATCCTTCTGTGGGGGATGTTAATAGGAACCCTTTTTGGAAGGTTTCAATAGGAGTCATTCTTGTAGGGGGTTTCAGTAGGAGTCCTTCTGTGGAGGGTTCCATCAGGATTCGTCAACGCAATCCTTGCGAAGTGCCAGCGCAGTGCCAACGCACTACAAAGCACAATGGCAAAAGCATTGCCAAACCAATGCCAATGCAATGCCAACGGGGGGATTCTTTCTTTCGAAGCATCTCAATAGCAACCCTTCTGCAGGAAACTCCAATGGGAACCAACATGTGGAGGATTTCAATAGCAATCCTTCTGTGGAGGGTTTCGATCGGAATCCTTCCAGAGGTGAGGGCAGATGAGGCCACGTCGGATTTGTTTAGCCGCCGCCCCCCCCCCCAGAACAAGACAAACAAACATCAGCTTAGCGTTTTTTTTTTGGGGGGGGGGGGGGGGCAGACGAAGGAAAAACAAATCTGGGGCCTCCCTCTCCTCCTCCTCTGCCTCCTCCTTCTCCTCCCGTTCACCCTCTTTCCCCCAGAACCGATGGTTGTTCTTCTCCTGCCCCCCCCAAAACAAAAGAACAGCAAACGAATCCAGCTTGTTCTTTTTTTTGTTGGGGGGGGGGCGCAAGAAAAGAAACAAAATCGATTCTGGGGGAAGAAAGAGGAGAGAAAAGGGTGAAGAGGAGTAGGAGAAGAGGGAGAAGGAGAAAGGGGGGGAGGAGGAGAAGGAGAAGGAAGACGAGGAAGAATGTTCGAAAACTCCACGAAAAACTATACGAAAACACTCTTTGAAAGGCGAGGTACTCCACAATCCCCCCTTCTCGCCTTGGGAGCCTCTGGGGGCCTACAGAAGTTCGAAACGGACCTTTTTCGCCTCCTCCTCCTGCTCCTCCTCCGGCCCCTCTTCCTCCTCCTCATCCAAATCCTCCTCCTCCTCATCACCATCATCATCGTCATCTGCAGCATAGGGATCAGCGTCAGCGTCAGCATCTTAATCATCTTCTTCATTGTGATCAACAACAGCAGCAGCGTTACCATCATCATCATCAACATCGCCAGCACGATCACCATTGTCATCATCACAATAATCGTCATCGTCATCATCATCACCATAGCCATCATCACATCATCACATCATCATCATCATCATCATCATCATCATCATCATCATCATCATCATCATCATTATCATCATCATCACCACTATCACCATTATCATCATCATCATCACGCCATCCGCATTATGAATACCACACGCGTAAACATTATCTTACACATATATGCATGGACATGACCCGCACCGGCATCCTCAGCACCATAAACAATACCATCGCCTGCATCCGCATCAAGAGCACCACCGTTACCATCATCATCATCATCATCATCAGCATCCTCCCAACCACCAATATCAACTTGAGTATCCTCAACATGTTCATCAACATCGACAGCAGCATCAGCATCACCATCATCCTCATCCTCATAATCCATATGACCAACATCATCATCATCATCATCGCCACCCGTATTATCTTCATAATAATCATCGTCATCTGCATTACCACTTTCAGTATCATTGGCATCGTCATCGCAACCATCATGTTTGAAAACAAGAGCAGCATCACCATCATAATCATAATAATCATCATCATCAGCACCATCATCACCATCATCATTAAGACCACCATCATCACCAGTTATCATCATGACACTCACCATCACCATCACCACCACCATCACCACCACCACCACCATCACCATCACCATCACCATCACCATCACCATCATCACCACCACCATCATCACCATCATCACCACCATCATCATCAACACCATCACCATCACCATCGTCACCATCATCATCACCATTACCATCACCATCAACACCATCACCATCACCATCGTCACCATCATCATCACCATTACCATCACCATCACCACCACCACCATCATCACCATCATCACCACCACCACCATCATCACCATCGTCAACATCAGCAACAACACCATCACCACCATCACCATCACCATCACCATCATCAACACCATCACCATCATCACCATCATCACCATCATCATCAGCAACATCATGGTCCTCCTCCTCCTCATCATCATCATCAACGTCATCATCCGTCTTCCGTACTCCGTTCTACATCCTCTTCCTCTACTTTTCCTCCCTCCTCCTCCTTTTCTGGACGCTGGACGCTGGTGGCTACCGTCGAACAGCGCTGCCATCCCCTCCTCCTCCTCCTCCTCCTGCTGACCTCCTCTGCCCTCAGTCCTCCGTCCTCCCTCCTTCTCCTCCTCACCTCCTCCTCCTCTTCCTCCACCTCCTCTTCCCTTGAAGCTGGAGGCGCGCAACAGGGGAGTGACGCGAAGAAGGCGGCCTTCTGAAAGTCGGGGGAGGAGCTTCTCAGGAGCCTTCCAAGGTTCGGAGCAGGCTTCTTAGAAGCCTCCCGGCCCCTTCTAAGAAGCTCCCTGCCGTCTGAGAAGGTCTTCTCAGAGGGCTCTTACCCCCTCGCACCACCACGTGTCGGAACCGGCAGAACTGCTCCGGGTCGACGGCTGCTTTTGGAGCCCCAGGGGGCCCTCTTGGCCTCGTGAGGGGTGATCCGGATGCCTTGGAGGCCTCATCCTGGGGACACTTTGGGCCAAGGACAACTGTGGCAACACCCGACAGGAGAGACCGTGACCGCAGAAGTCTTGAACAATTAAGGTGCCGTCTGCTTGGCCAGTCTGGGTCCCTGCGAGAAATTGTTTGGCCTGAAGAGGCCTCCAGGCACCCTCCCGAGACCCTCGAAGGCATCCAGTTGGCGCGCCCGAAATGTAGAAGAAATGCCCGCGGCGACACCGACAACGGGTGCTGGTCAAAGTGGATCGGAACTGCTGTTGATCTTCGTTCTCAGTCGCATTCTTGTCCGTCATCCTCCCTCCCCTCCCTCCTCCTCTTCCTCATCCAACTCCTCCTTGCATTCTTCCATCCCCTCTCCCCCTCCGTCCCTCCCCTCTCCTCCTGACGGTGACGCCACAGGCAGGTCTGACAACATCAAACTCCTTCTCATCCTCCAAACTCCTTCTCCTCCTCCTCCTCCTCCTCCTCCTTCTCATCATCACAATCATCGTCGTCATCACAAACCACCACCACAGTCATCATAATCATCATCATCATCATCATCCTCATCATCATCAGCATCATCATCATCATCATCAGCATCAGCATCATCATCATCATCATCATCATCATCATCATCATCATCATCATCATCATCATCATCATCATCATCATCATCATCATCATCATTGCTATTATTATGATTATCATCATTATTATTAATATTATTATTATCATTATCATCAGCATCATCATCAACATCATCATCATCATCATCAGCATCAGCATTAGCGTCATTACCACCGTCAACACCAACGGCAACATCATTATCATAACCACCACCACCACAGTCATCATCATCATCACCATCCCCAGTATCGTCATCATATGCATCATCATCTTTATCATCGTCATCGTCATCGTCATCGTGATCATCACACACATTATCAACGACAGAAACAACAACATCAGCATCATCATCATCAGCATCGCCATCGACATCATCAGCGTCATCACCATCATCGTCATCATCACCATCATGATCACCACAAACAACATCATCATCAGCAGCAATCTCAGCATCAATCATCAACATCACCCTTCTTCCCTCCCTCTATCCCTCTTCCTCCTCATAGACCAGACTCCGACCTCCTCCTCCTCCTCCTGCTCCTCCTCATCCTTCTCGTGAACTTCCAACCTCGGCTCAAGCAGTTGAGGCGTTGTGTTTGTTGATCGCACCAGAGACATTCGGCCAGGGGTTCGCGACCCTACCAGTATGACAGCCCAGCAGTATGTGCGATGCCGTAGTGCAGCTACAAGTGGAAATAGCGCACGAAGGAGAAGTGCTACCACTGCGGCTGCGCGCTCAAGTCTTTGCAGACGTCCCAGCGGGCGCCGCAGGGGCAATGGACAACGCCGCCGACGTTGCCGCTCGTGCCTACCAGTGCAGCCGCGCCGCCGCCTCCTCAGTGGACGCCGACGCCGCTGCCATCTTACCAGACGAACCCATTCGTTACGCCCCTCTTCACGCCATTCGGTCCCCCAATGCCGCCCAGGCCGTATGTTTCGCCACCACCGCTGCCCGACGCGTGGTGGGACGCGGCGGGCGCGGCCATGGACCAATGGCCCAAGAAGAAGAAAAATAAGAACAACAAAAAGAAATCCAAGGGAGGCCAGGTGCTGATAGACCTGGAAGAAGAGGACATCGTGGTCAACGACGCCCTCCAGGTGCTGCCCAAGCGCATCGACCAGTCGGCCCTCGCTCGCATCGCTGAAGGAGCAAGTGGCCAAGTCTGCCCCAAAGCCCGCACCGCCGGAGCTGCCTGAGGTCCAGCTGCAGCGTGCAGCCATGGCGGCACGGGAGGCGCAGTCCAAGTATGACGGCGCCTTGGACTGGGTCAAGACGGCCCAGCAGCAGCTCGATAACGCCACCAGCTACCTCCAGGCCTCCAGGACATGTCTGCTGCCCTTGCCATCGCTGAGGCCGCCGAAGAGGAGGTGCGTGCAAACCTGGCACCGCGCCCCAAGGCAGCCCCGCAGGTGATGCACGGGAAGCAGGGGATCGACCTCGTGGCGCTGCTGGAGGGCGAGGCCATCCAGATCACGGAGGGCGACTTGTTGCAGCTCGACGTCGGCCTTGAGGAGCTCGACGACGGCGCGGAGACAGCCATCGAGCAGTGGAACAAGCGGAAGCAGCAGCTCGGCGAGTTCATCCAGCAGCTGGTGAAAGATCACTTCACCCCGATGGCCGCGCAGGTGAAAGCCGAGACTGAAGGCCTCCGCGAACAGAAGGCGAGGCTGGTCAGCCACAAGCGGAAGAAGTCCAACGACGGCCAGGCAGCGGCTGGCGCCCCCGCGGCAGCCCCAGAAGGCAGCCCTGGCGCCGCCGCGGCGTTTCCTCCTGCGGCCCAGCCGCAGGCGCAGGAACCGCGCCGCCGCCGCGCTGGTCTCCAACAGAGGCGGCGGCAGCCACCAAAAGCCGCGCGGATTCCCGCACGGCCGAGCTCTTCGACGCTGCCATGGCCAATGGGATGCACAAAGACGTACTAGTACTATATGTCATCCTTGGACGCGCGCGTCCGACCCGAACGTATAGTATACCCATCTTGTAGTATATCGTTTCCCGAGCGGTGTGGCCAGAATGCGCCCGCCACAACGCATATACTATAAGATTCCTCGGTGCGCGCGTCGCCCCTGGGAGGGCGACGCACATATAGTATAAGTATGTTGGGGTGTTGCCGAGCCAAGGCAGGCAAGGGCAAGGGCGCTGGCCCCGGCAAGTGACAACCAGCCGCCCACCTCCCCAGGCACGATCAATACGGAGGCGCGGCCAGCGTCTGCGATGACCGCGCTCGTGGCACAGCCGCATCCGCTACTGGAAGCAGGCGCCCGAAGATCTACATGCACAATCTTTCTCGGTGGGGCCCGAAGGTGCTCGAGCATCTGATAAGCCAGTGGCAGGCTTACGATGTTGTTGGTTTGTGCGAACACCATGCAGGCCTTGCCGATATCAACGACCTCGGTGACAACATCGCGAAGGCTGGATGGCGCCCTGTCATTTCGCCCGCAATGCCCCGAGACCACGTTCTACAATCAGGAGGTACCCTCATCGCGGCCAAGAGGGGCCTGAACGCCCACTCCTTCTCGCGTCTTGCAACTCATGCTTCCCAGAGCTGCGGCGCCAGTCACGGTGTCCAAACTCAGAGTTCCCTTGGCAGTGGCCCCATAGACTTCCACGATTTCTCAGCCATCAGCGTCCGAACCTCATGGCAGCAGATAGTTCTGGTCCAGATCAGATCTACTTCGACCACGGCATCGGGGTCAAGGGCGGGAACCTGCGCAAGCTTCGCGCCCTAGGCGGTTTCCTATAGGCGCAGGCTGCCCCATGGATTGCTTTTGGCGACTGGAATGTGGAGCCGAACGAGCTCGACGATTGGTTGGAGAAAATCGTCGGTGCGCAGCTGCTTCCAGAAAACGTCGAGGTCACGAGCTTCGCTGGCGAGGGCCGGTTGTACGACTTCGCCGCTTGCGCCAAGGATCTCGCCCCGTTCACACGCTCCGTTCGCTCGGTCATGGACGGGGAATGGAAGGCAAGGCACACGCAGCGCCCCAGATAAACATCGGCTTCGACCCCGCCGACGCGGAGCACCTCACTTGTAACTTGCAAAGTGCCCAAGCCTTTTCCGCGCCCGCCGCTGCCCAAGCGGCTGCCTGACCCAAATAGCAAAAAAACTATGCGTAGTCGCTCGCGCCCCTCCGCTCCTCCTCCTGCCCCCGCCCCCAAGCGGGCTCCAAAGCCGAGGCGCAGTGGGGAGGGCGCCCCAAATTTTCTGGGCGCCGCCGCACCTTCTGAGCCGGCTCCAAGCAACGGCCAGGACCCAGGATATTCCCATCCTAAGGTAGGCCAGGCTCCTGAGGACGATGATGGCTTCCCCGAGGTAGGTCAGGCTCCCGACGAAGACATCCCAGTGGCCTACCAGGCCCCAGGTGATGACCCCTCCCCTCCTCCTGTGCCTCCCCTCCTCCCTGATGAACCTCATCCGCCCGACACCAGGACGTTAGGTGATCTTTGGGGCGAGGTGGAACCCGACCCAAAGGCCCTGCAGGAGGTCTGGCGTGGAGCCCCTACCGAGATCCGAAGCTGTTTAGGGTATCTGTCGGCCCCCGCTGCCTCTGAACAATTTGCCGTGCAGTTTGGCGCGCGGGTTTCTCGCGTGGAATCATTTTATTGCAAAGCACACGCCGTTCCGCCAGAGGCCCACGCCTCCTTTAAAGGACGAGCTGCGGTCCAGCCCTTTTCCAAACGTCATGCGTCGGGAAAGTCGGCACCGCTGCAGTCGGCGCATAATGATGTCAACTGGTGGGCCGTTTTGAGCTCCCCCCTTGCCTTGTTGGGCAGAGCTCTCCCAAAACCCGACTCCGCGCCTGGCAGGGGGCGAGCTACCAAACAGATTTGGGACCGCGTGGAATCCCTGGTTCCTCAGCTCGACGATTTGAAACTTCCTTCCCTCGACGGCGCTGCGGTGAGGTCCCGGCGGCGCGCGCTCGGGGGGCCGCCGAGCCTCGGAGCGGAGCAGATCGTCTTAGTAGCCGACGCAGCAGGCCGGAGCTTCGGCAGAGCCTCTCGCACGGTCACGGGTAGGAGCTCTCAAGAGCTTCGGCGACTGGGCGGAGCAACCCAGCAATCTCGGCACTTTTTTTTGACGAATCAGCGATTATAGCTCCGGTGCATCTCTGTACGCATGCGTAGATCTCACGTTGTACTTGCGCAATCCTTTCGCAGGTAGAGGTCATGACGCTGCGGATGTCGCGTGCGGTACCCTCCAGCAATCTCGGCGCATCACGCAAGATGGCGAGGCCGAAACCTCGCACCACGGTGCAAGCCCTTGGAGAGAGCAGCTTGCCAACGACTGCCCCAATCGAGCTCATGCGTGTCCGGGCCCAGTCTAGGGCAAGCAGATGGTCTCGCCGCGATAGTGATCACGAGCTCCATGCAGGATTTCAAGAGGTGAGAGAGTGCGCTCTGGAGGCCCCTCCCCTCCCTCCTCTTGAGTTGGCTCGCCTCGACCTTATCCTCCATCGCACGCCCGAGCGAAGAGTCCGGAGGGTTTGCCAACATCATCGCGCAAGACATAGCGAGGCTGCCGCCAGCTGCCCTGCAGGAGCTGCTCGACGTCTACCAGGCGATGAAAACAACATCGCCTAGCCCTGGCAGATGCTCAGGGCATGGACTGCTCTCTTGCCGAAGGACTTGGGTGCAAATCGCAGCGTCGCCAATTTCGCTTTCGTGGCGCGTCTGTGGGAGCAGCTCCGGGGAGACGTCACTCACCAGTGGCCCCTCGAACGCCAACGTCGGGCTCGGTTCGACGACGCTGTGAAAGGCAGCTCCGCCGTCCAAGCCGCTGTAAGACGCTTGGTATCAGATGAGAGCGCTGCTACATTTAAAGTCTCCACGTCTTCAGCTGTGTGTGATATTTTCAGTTTTTACGATGGCCTAGACCCTGTGCTTGTCATGCAGCTAGCAGCAAAGCATAATTACCCCTGTGTCGCGCTCGCCCGAAGTATCCAGCTACATCGGTACCTCTGGAGCCTCAGGTCGTTCTCTCCTGTCATTGAGGCTCTCTGGGGGCTGTTAGCTGGGTGTAGATCGGCCTAGCACCTTGCTGCGTGCATGTTGCACGATCAGAGGTTCGATTTAAAGTCGCGTTTTCGCCCAAGGCTCGAGGCGCGCACGTGGGTCGACGATGACAATTCTCGTTCTGAAGTCACGGCCAGCATTGTTACTAACCAAACTGTTGCTTGTGTGGTTGCTTTCAAAGAGGGGCTTGACCAGCTCCACCTGTCTCTGTCACCCAAGTCCTGTGTAATTGCTTCTACTTCCAGAACTGCTAAGACCATCGCTAGTGAACTGAAGCAGTCAGGAATTAGCATTCAGGTTTCGGACAGCGCCCCTGACCTAGGCATAGATCGGGGGCCCCACGTCACACTTGCGTAGGTCTAGGGGTCTCCAGCGTTGGCGAAAGGCGCCCGCAGGGGAAGCCGCATCGCCACGCTGAGATCCCTAAAGCAGCATATTCGGCGCAATCTGTTTAAAACCGATGCAGTGCCCCAGGCCATGTACGAACCCAAAGTTTTTTGGAGCGTCGCCCAGCCGATTAAAGAAGCTTCTGCAGGCGGAGACGCGTGTAGTCTGGGAGCAAAAGCAGGGCAAGTCTGTAACCACGGTGTTGGCTCTCAGATACGGATCACGTGATCCCGCATCGTCGCCGTGCTTGACCTGCTCGTTGAATGGCTTCGTTTCTTTAAGAAAGATGACACGCCCATCGGTCGTCTGCAGGAGTCTTGGGCTCGCATATATACTCGTGTCATGTCTATTCCAGCCAAGCGTCGCTGGTCCAATGTGAAAGGACCGATCTCTGCTATCATCGCCTCCCTCGCCTCACTTGGGTGGGGCACTCCTGGGCTCCTCGAGCGGCGCGGTCCACTGCAGGACGCTGGGAGGCCCCCACTCAAGATCACTCCGCTCTCGCTGCTGCCCTCCCTGCTTTTGACCCCTCCGACCTGCTGGCCGCCGTGCGCGCTTCCGTGGAGAAGCAACTGTGGTCAGGCGCGTCCACCCAGCAATTGGGAGGGGGGTTGCAGGAAGGAGTGGATCTTTTTATTTAGCCTTCACGAGCAGCTGTCCACACTGGGCAAGGCTCAAGAGTATGACCGTCGAGCGGCCAGCGAGTGCGCCGCTACTGCAGGTATGTGGCCCAGGCAGAGAGTGGCCGATTGCGTGATTGGAGATTTCGACCCTACTTTCCCCAGATGTCATCTCGCTCCTGAGACTCTCAAGCATCGTGTCTGGGAAAGGCCACTGCAATGACTCCCTCCCGGAATGTACGGAGTTTGCCGACTTCGTTGAGGCGGCTAAGTCTGCCCTCGATGACGGTATTCACGAATGCTTCTGGCTTCGAAACCCCACGCCCGCCGCCTTGGTGCCTCTGCCTCCCCCCCCGGCGACGTCGAAACGCATGACGTCACGTACCCTGCGAATGAGGTTGCGGACCCTCCCGTCGGAGACTGGGCCTCGCCCGAGGTGCTCGGACGTCTCTTTGCGGTCGACGGATCGAGGGGAGAATATACGAAAGACCCGAGGTTGCGCAGATGTGCCTGGGCACGGGTCGATGTTCACCCCGCTGTGCCCCACATCCAGGTGTCTCGTCGAAGGAGTGCTGGCCTTGTCGGCCGCCGTCAAACCAGCAATCGAGCCGAATTAAAGGCTGTTTTTTACTGTTTGCTGCATGTGCGTGATGATCTGACGTTCCTGACAGATAGCGGGTACGTCGTGCGAGGGTGGCACAGACTCCAGGTCGGGTCCAGGCCGAAATCGAACCAGGACCGCTGGCAT